TATCTACAGATACAACATAAGCATGAATATTCATGTCATAAGGTGCACCATGATAAACCCCAGCCGACAAAGTAGAATTGCAGAGTCCTACGCCGGCATCTCTTTTATCTCCTCGATCTCTGTTGAGCTAGCGAGGTCTTCTTCCTCTATTTCTGCTAGGATGGGTTGCAAAAGTCGATGGCTTTTTCTTTGGGAACTTTAGCCACTTCGACTTGTCGGGTGGGCATTTATTGTCCCACCCCTGGTGTCCAGTGTGTCCACACTGGAAACATCGCTTTTCTCTTTTGAGACGATCAATGTCCATAGGTTCACCTTCACTGCCGTAGGTGAATCCAGTGGCATCCCTTCTACTCTTCAAGCCACTCGAAGAACCCCTCGCTGTTCCAGGCTTGGAACCAGTGGTCCCACTGGAATACTTCCTGCCTTGGGTGAGATGAAATTGGTAGTTCTCATCCATTTGTAGGACCCTGCACCTCCATTCCCAGTAGGTGGTAGGCCACATATTATCTCCGCCCATGATAATCTGTTTAATATTGGGCCAGATTGTGAGGGTGACGACTTCCTCCATTTCCTCATCATTGTGGAAGTGTTCGGCTTCCACGGCCAGTTGTTTGAACCTCTCAAAGAATTCAATGGCTGTCTTGAACTGCACTTGTTGCAGTTTTTTTCCATTGCATCCGCTTGATTTGGACCTTCGCTACCTCCCTGAAATGTGTTCGGAAGTTTTCCTGGAAGGTCTCTCAGGAGGGGAGGCGATGCCTCCCACTGTGTGGGTCCTTGTAGTGTCGTTGCTGATGGACCCACCAGGTCATCACTTCTCCACCAAATTGGTGGGCTGCGAAGACTACTCGACTTGGGCCATACCCATATGCTTCGTTAAGCGCAAAGTATTGGGCAAAAACCTCGAAGTAGTATTCGGAGTGATTAAAGAAGCGATCTAGGTCACTGGCCTTTCCATGGAATTTGTCAGGGACTTCTATCAGCATTGGTTTCACATTTCCCGAAGGGTTGGGTTGCCAATCTACATTGTATCACAATTGTCTGCTTGTCCATTCTAACATCTGCTGCCATGTTAGATCATATATTTGTTGGTCCATAAGTCCCTGTACTTGAGCCCTGGATGAACTCAGGTGGATCATCAGAGGGGCTTCCACTGTGGGGACTACTGGGCTCATCCTCCTGGGATCACTGGTCGATGACCAGACCAGCTCAGGCCCAGGGGTCTGTCCTGTTGTCGTGGTTGGGTGGAAAACTGATGACCTGGTATCGGGAGAAAGTACTCGGTGAATATGACATCATCAGGTCCATCTTCGATGGCATCGTTGGTGGAAGTTTCTGAGATGTGGGCAAAGCGTGGCTCGGCGAAATCTCTGAGGTCAGCGATGGTGATAATGGTTCAGGGGAGAACTTCGGATTCAGGTCAGGGAGATGGCCAGACAAAGTCTGACTCATGGATGGAATTGTCATCCCACCATGAAGGGGGTCCTTCAACTCTGTAGATTCCATCGGGTGTGTATGATGCGAAAGAGGTTCAGGCATCGTGCCACTCTGGCTTGGGAGATTCATCTCCTCAATGTCCTCCTGTGTCAGATACTCCCCATATTTCCCCTCATCCCTGGGCAGGGAGGAATGGGTTTTCATCTTCTTCAAAGGTGGTTCTTTGTCTGGTTCGTCCATGGACGATTTGATTGAATATGTCGATGTAGAACCTACTCATTCCTCTCTGATAGAGATACTCTCCATCGTCATCGAACCCTGGGACAGCAGCTGATAACTCTGTGGAGGTGATTGATGGCTCCCTGGAGTCATTGTTGTCACCCCAGGTCATGTCATCCCAGGACCCATCTGCATTGGTCCAGTACTCAGTGGTAAACCTGGGGTCAACTGGGTGCCATTTTCAAATAACGGGCTGGAGATTTCTTTTCTTTGGAAGTATAACAGTGACTGCCTTGAAGCAGTACAGTTACCATTGACAATGGTAAGGGTAGTAAGGGCAAGCTTCAGCTAATTGTTAAGCACTAACTCTAATCTGAGTCAAGGCTGGTCTCTATCCTGTCACTCATGTTTGGTGATTCAGTGTTAGAGAGGCCTTGGTAGATTACAAGAAGTTAGGCATCACTTATAGCGAAAGCAAGGAGCTCATGAGAGTTAGAAGTATATAACCTTAGCCGAAGCTGGGGTCTAAGGCCACAGCGTAGGCTAGCTTAAATACATGTTAGACTCGTACTAAGAATAGTATTTACAAGGGCGCATGCAGCAAGAAGTGCGCCTTTCAATGAATGAGAAGTGAGGACACTAAAAGAAGTGTGCTCCTGACGAATGAGAGTAAAGAGCGCATATCACCTGTATCTGTGTGGGACTCTGTCTGAATAGGCTGCATCCTGTAGACCGCCCTCAACTAGCAGTCGACTCCTGTCTAACTACTAAGAAGCATGATGCCATCAAGAGAAGCATGATGGTGCATGCAGGTCATCGGTCACCTGGGATGCAGCAGCCATGAACTGGGGTGACAGCAACTGGGTAAACGGGTAAGGAGTATGCCGGCAGAATATCATGGGTCCAAGAGATAAGATAGGTAGGTCCAGGGTTCTGAGAGATAAGGATAAGATAAGATAAAGAAAATAAGGGTAAACTCATAATAACAAGTGATCTTATGAGTGGCCTGTTTGACAACATAAAGCATATCTTCATCATTCCTTAGTTTATCCACCTCCTTCACCAGTTTCTTGAATTTCTGGAAGAAATCTTTGGCACTTTTAAAGTTGGCCTGTTGAAGATTCTCCCACTCCTTATACTTAAGCTTCTGGTGATGACCCTAGTAGAATTGAGCATGCACCTTCTGCTTGAGCTTTTTGTACTGTGAGTACTGCATTCATCCATGGTGAATATCTAGGAATTGTTCATTTTCAGATTCCACCACTTAAGGGCTTTCCCTTTGAATCTGGAGACCACAAACACCATGCAATGAGCATCATTGTGAAAATACTTGGGATACACCTCACAATACATCTGACAATGATTGAAGAAATGATCAATGTCTGTACCTTCCTCCTTGTAGGGTTCAGGTTCTTGGACAATAACCAGTTTTAATTTGCCCCATGGATTATCATTGTTAGGTCCTGAGTCCCACCTGCTAGGGGGTCCTGGCAGTGGCAGGTTCACAGGTGAAGACGGTGGATCCAAAGGTCTCAGCAGGGATCAAAAGGAAAGGTTCTGGCTTGGCAGCAATGAACCTGCCAGTGGTGCCACTCCTCAGCCCAGATTTTGTGGAGGAGTATTTGGGGTGCTTCTTGCCAGTCCTCCTTCAGCAAAGAGTCAGCTACCTTTCAGCACAATTCTGGGTGGTCCTCTGCCATACTTTCACTTCAGCAGACTGGCTGGCATGGGTGCCAGTCACTGATATTGCTGAATGAGATTCATAGCTTGGGTAGGGTGAAAATGGTTTCATAAAAGGAGGGCCTTGTAATGAGCCTCCCATTCCAAAATTCATTGAACTACTAAAAGGTCATAGCATCCCTGCACTGTTCAATAACCCTCCTCTGCCTCCATGCCATACTATTGAATGTCTTCCTTCAGACTCTCTCCACAAGTTTTCCAAAGCTTGATAAACATCATCTTGCTCAAATGGTCTTCTTGGCATTGAAGCACTGCCTCTGTCAGGTCCAAATACTTCAATACTTCCTTAAGCATCCTTAGAATATGGTCATCTTCTGAACCATCATCCTCCTCTTTGTCACTCCTCTCCCATTCATTTGTGACTGTCACTGGACTCAGAATTATCATCCAGGAATCCTAGTCAGTTGGCCATCCAGACAGGGTGTGATGCACTAGCTCAAATCTGAACCAAGATGTGATCTCTCTGCTGTCACTCATGTTCAGTGATTCAGCATATGAGAGAATGTGTTGGCAGATTGCAAGGGTTGGTAGCGTTACTTAGATAGTCCAAGCAAGGAGCTTGTCTCATAAGAGTTAAGAGTGTATAACCTTAGCCGAAGCTGGGGCTTAAAGTCACAGCATAGGCCAGCTTAAATACAAGTAGGTCCTACTTAAAAATAGTGTAGCATCTGTATGTTTGTGTCCATATGTCTCATGTAGAAGTATGTGCTTATTATGACCTTACCCCTATTTTCTCTATCTTATCTTATTCTTATCTCCCAGAAAACCAGACCTATCTATCTTATCTGTCAAACCTACAATATTTCTCTAGCATGTCTCCTACCTGTTTACCCAGTTGCTGCATCCCGGATGACTGACATACCTCATATGCCATCATGCTTCTCTTGATAGCATCATGCTTCTTAGTGGTTCAATAATGCAAACTGCTAGTTGAGGGCAGTCTACAGGATATAGTTGAGTCAGACAGAGTCCTGCTTTCATGCAGGTGACATGTGCCCTTTATGCTCACTCATTGAAGGTCACACTTCTCTATGTGAGAACTGCAGCCAGGACTTATAATTAGACAGAGCAAATATGTATTTAAGCTTAGGGCTGCACACCATACCGTATATGATATATGGCCATAAAACAATAGCCAAAGTCGGTGATGGAAGTCACCATACACTATACTATAAAACAGAATTAGTAGGCCTTTCAGTGTCGGTACAAACATTTTACAGCTATTTACAGCCATATACGTCCATAAACATTATCAATAAAATGCATTTACTTAAAAGACTGGAGTACATTAATCATTTAACACCTTACTAATAGCTGCACACTCATGCCAGAGACGATATTTCATCAGCATTAGTACCCATATAGTTTCTGCCTTCAAGCTTGCATGCCTGAGGGAAATAGTATCATGACCCCCAGAGAAAACATGCTCCACAGTGACAGCAGAACCTATGGTGGTATCATCAATACATTATTTAAAAGCTGTAAGATCAGGAAATCAACATACCAGGAATAGAAAGAATATCTCTCACCAGATGGAACAGGTTTGGAAACTCACTGCACTTGTTGAACCACAATTTGACAGGACTACAAGAGCTAAAATCCTCTCAAGGCAGGTTGAAGTATGCTGTTAGCTCGTCGACAACAACAGTCTTCTTCCAGTATCTAGATGTGAAGTCAACCTTTTGTGGAGAGCCTTGAGGCTTGAATAACATGGCAGTGAGGGCAATTACAGTGGGAGATCATTAGGAAGAAGGCACTTGACCAGCATAATGTGTTGTAATAATTGTAGAGATCACGCTTGGCATCCTTGAGGTAGTTGGCCAACAAATGGTCACCAGTGTAATCATCATGCATTTCCTCATAAGAAATATGTGGATCTAGAACTAAACAAGCATGTTAGAGTTGTACTCACTTGTTAATGATTACACATAACTCACATGCAGCCCAGGTGTACAGAGGAGACTCATCATACTTATAATAGTATTCACTCAACTTTTCATGAGCTGCAACTACACCATTGCGAAGATGTGGTGAGATACTATCAGGGAGAGATTGAAGCACCTCCTTAAGGTGATCCTGGAGCCCCCAAAAGATCACATGCATAGTGGACAGCATAGAGATCTTTGTTGTTGACATCTGAGTGGTTGCCAAATGAAATGTCTTCAGCCACCCAGTAACAAGCTCAATAGCTCACCAGTCAGCATCACTGAACTCAAAATCCTGCAATTCATGAATGCAAGACACATAACTATCAATGATGTCCTGGAAATCCAAAGCATGACCTAGTAACTCATGAGCAACATTTGAAATAAGGAACCATTAGATACATATGCAACATTTGATGGGTAGAAGACCAACATGTGGCCACATCCAGTATAAGCATCAGAATTTGTTCTGCCACATCTACACCATCATTCCAGCTCCCAAGTGCCATCCTGACTTCATGAAGCCATGCTTGCTTATATTGAGGGCTGGAACATACAGCTCAGATGATCTTGCAAAGCTATAAAGGGTCAGAAGGATGTTGAATGATACAACTGCAGAAGCTCATACCTTATCAACAGAATAGAAGACATCATCGGAAAGGTCACCAGTGGAATAGTCAGTATCTCTGCTCTTGTCTCCATCATCATCTGGATCATCTTGAAGAACAGCCTCAGTGTCATGGCTGTGATCAACAGGTGCCATTGCAGCATCCTGATAATTGGAGCTCTGACTAGCAGCATTTTTTGCAGACTTCTTGCTGATAACTCCAATAGTCTTCAAAAGCTGAAATGCAGAAGGATAGTAAGATGACTTGCAGGCATTGCTTACATATTTTGGCATACCTTGATAGCAGCAAGGTGCACCATATGTGGCATACACCACAGATGGGACAGTTTCACATCAAATGTAATGTCTTCTTTGCAGCAGTGAGACTCAATACCCTGGACAAGTGTATCATTGTTGCTTGCATTGTCCAACATCATGACAATGATCTAGACTGAACTCAGACAATATCAATCAAGAAGTTACAATGAGTGCACCTTATCTTGCAGACCATACAATGTAAGGGTTTTCCACACAGCATCAGCCATGTTCTCTCCAGTGTGCTTCCCAATTAGTTCATGGAAATCAATTAATAGCTCCTCTATTACTAGTGAGTGTGAGCTTTACAATGGGAGAAACGACACATACCATGCTTTCCATCATTTGTAACATAGTGAGCAACAGTGGCCAAGAATGCAATGTTGTTGCTTGAGATCCAGGTGTCAAGGGAGATACTAACTTTTCCTTCAAGCTCCTAATATCATTTACCATTAATACATAGCTACAATGGAGCAGAAAGAGCTACCTCAAACATTTTCCGAGTTTCTTCAATGCTATCCTCACCCATTTTCATAATTTGGCATCAAATGGCATCTCGGTGGGGAATGTGAAGATCCTCAGGTGAGTGGTGATGAGCATAAGAAAGCAGATTACAGAATTCCTCCCTATCAACCTCTTCAAATAGCTGGTCACATGCAATGATCCACTCAGCAAGCAGTGTTTCAAATTTCTGCTGATCCCATTCACCCTGTTAGAAACATGTTAGCCAGCTTGTAAGTATCACATATTGACGGACTGACCTTTGCATCAACAGATTGCTTTCTGAATGTGTGAATGATATTCTTGGACTCAGATTCCATCTGTTTAAGATACACATCAGCCACCTGCGGGTCTAATGTCTTGGAGCCATTCACAATGTTGATCTCATCCTCGAGAATGACAGCATTGGGTGTAGCATCCAAACAGGCTTGCAATGCCAGAAACATATAATACATCGGAGCAGAACATGTCTTCAAATGCCCGATAAGCCCTGCAGGTGGGTGAGTATAGCACAACAATGAGACAAGTCACAATATTACCATTTAGGCTTCCCTTCATTGTCTGCATAATTGTCAAGACCTTGCAGTTACCATGGTAGCACTTAAAGTGCTTATCACCAGAATTTCCTGGCTTGCCATCTGAATTTAATGGCACTGATTCATAGAAATAATAAATCGGGTTATGTTTCCCTGCTGATGTGCTCGGTAATGGTGAGTGACAAAAGGCTAGTGGATGGATATGAACACCACAACACCAAAACCCTCTACTACTCTACACAAATCACCAATTATATTGAGTTCGGGTGTTTCAAGTACGATGGAAGCACTCTGCAGACTTCAATAAATCAGGAAAAGGTTGTTTAAAGATGTATATTTAGTACTAGTGAGCTACACAAGATGTAATACTCACACTAGTGGGGTTTAAGACACGATTGGATGAATAGTGACTTTGGTTGAGCAACTGCACTCAGTCTAACTCTGATACTTCGAAACTAGTGGCACTCTGAGCCAAATACTGGGTCTCACAAGCGGTCTACACTTGACTAGCAGCACCCTAGGCTCGACTAGTGGCACTCTTGGCCTAAGAACAAATACTTTAACTCCGAGAAAATACTTTAACTAACTTCGAAACACTCTGAGTCACTCCAAGACGGAATAGTAACTTTAAGACACTTCAATTCGTTCAATACTATAGGTGACTAAGCGACTAGTAGACACTTCGTCGAGGTTAAGCACAAAAGCCTTTAATTGGGGCACTAGAATATGGACTAGTAGGTCACAATCATGGGGATGGCTTGCCTGGCATGCGAGGCTGCCCCTTCTACTACTTATATACTACAGAGACAGGTACAGAATAAATACAAATAGATTCCTTAGGGGTAATATTGGTAAGGATGTCTTGGCTAGTTACGAATAATGGTGAGCAATCACGCAATAGTCAGCCTAGCCTGTTCTTTCTGTCAGATAGCAGGCCTAGGGTCTCCACTATTGGTCTTTTCCATACCCTTTGCCCAGCAGTGCTCCACTAGTGATATGGCTATACGAATAGTCAGGTAGCCATACCTGTAGCAACTGCTCGATCATGATCGGGGCACAGTCTGGCTATACTAGTACTGATCGTATGGGATCTGTATCACACTATCTGGATCTGGGCTAAGGGTTATACCTTTACTCATTCATTTCTAAGTCCTTTCTAAAGTGCTCATGTGACTAGTCATCCTGACTTAGGCATTCATGCCCAGATCAGTCCACTAGCAACTGAATAGTCGAGATCTGTTGTAGGTTCTTACTTCTTGTTTAGGCACTAGCAGCTGTACTCCCTACTCACTGCTGCGGTGCATCGGTAATTTAGGGGGGTCAAATACTGTGAAGGATTTGGTGCTGGATTTAGAGAGTAAATCCTGGGCACCAAAACCGGCACTAAAACACAGTAAGTTTTGGATTGGTATTTGATGTCAGTTTTGGCACCGGATTTGTATGTTAAATAGGAATACAAAAACACATGGTATTTTGATGCAGATTTAGTCATGCAGATTTGTGCAGGAAAAACATACGGATTTGAGTCAGGGATTTGGGTCCTAAATCCAGCAGGGTAAATCCGCCCCCAAAAATGAGCAGTATTTCAAATGGTAATTTTAGAACAAAGCCGGATGTAAATACCGAACCAAAAATGGGCGCAAATACAAAAGGTACTTGTTCCAGGATTTGGAACCCAAATTCTCACTAGCAAGGCTGGCGGATCACCAAGATTTGGGCTCCAAATCCTGGAACAAATACCTTTTGTATTTGCGCCCATTTTTGGTTCGGTATTTACATCCGGCTTTGTTCTAAAATTACCATTTGAAATACTGCTCGTTTTTGGGGGCGGATTTACCCTGCTGGATTTAGGACCCAAATCCCTGACTCAAATCCGTATGTTTTTCCTGCACAAATCTGCATGACTAAATCTGCATCAAAATACCATGTGTTTTTGTATTCCTATTTAACATACAAATCCGGTGCCAAAACTGACATCAAATACCAATCCAAAACTTATTGTGTTTTAGTGCCGGTTTTAGTGCCCAGGATTTACTCTCTAAATCCAGCACCAAATCCTTCACAGTATTTGACCCCCCTAAATTACCGATGCACCACAGCAGTGACTAGTGACCATATTTTACTAAGTCATACTAGCTTTAGAGGCACTAGTCCGGTTGGCTGGTAGGGTTGACCCACTAGTGATATCATTTCTAAGTCCTGACTCAACTAGTAGCACACTAACTTGACTATCAGTCCAAAGTCTCAACTATAGCTCTTGATATACAATTAGTATAGGATAGACCTGCAACAGTATTGTTATAAAATCGCAAAATCTAGGTGTGAACATGTAGACAGCATATCACCACCTATTTTCATGAATCAGAATACAAAATCCACCAAACAAGGAAAGGTAACCTACCCTGTGCTTTTGCTTAGCAGGCCCAGTTTGCTTGCTTGCTTGAGGTGCTGAACCACCCTCATCCCCTATCTGCCTCAGTCGTATCCTCTGACTCACTGTTCATGGAGAAGTCACCATCATCTGTATCGGAATTTGTACCTCCTGCTGAGGAAAAATGAATATAAGAGAAATAACTGGTATGAGCAACAATACTCACCACTCTGCTTGTTCTTCTTTCTGTTCTTCTTAGCCTTCTTACAGTGATGGCGGGGGTTAGTAGGTGCAGTAGGCTATCCATCTTCATCATGCTTTTCAGCATCAAGAAGCTCCTTCATGCATCCTCCAGTATTTGATTGATGAGAGCGAGCTGTTAAGAGGCTTCAGTCCTGATGGAATGAGGAGCACGAAGAAAAGAATAGATGAACCATTGCTTTTGTCAGCCAAGCTGGGTCCAGACATGGATACATCATCATCCTTGTCAAAGTAGAAATCAATCTTTGTGGTGGGTTTAAGATTCCCACTAGCATCCAGCACACACTGGTCAGAAGGATGAGACATCTCAGGGAGCAGTGAAAAAAAGAACATGCATTACTAGCTTATATATGCTATCCATGCCCCTCAAGCTGGAAAAATTAACACCCAAATAAAAGCAAATATTACCATTATCTCAGTCTGACAGGGTGGGCCAGCATGGTTCATATACCAAGCACAGGAGCTGACTCCAAGCTGAGAAAGTAGAGCAACAGGTATGGCATTGAAGCTAGGACTAGAGACAAAATGGTAACACAAGAAATAAGTTGCCAAAGGTGTCTGAATCAATAAAGAAGTACTACAAAAGGTCAGTCAGACTTTTGGACAAAGACACCATGCTAATGGGACAGACTTTGACTTGTTTTCACCTCTTGAGATGGCCCATACTCTCAAACCAAACTAGACAGGTATTGATCTGGAAGAGGAAAGTGTCCGGTTGCCACCCTGAGCAGAATGCTTGCTGCATCAGGGCTGCAAAAGCAATAGCAAGAGAAGAATGAAGGAAACATGTCAGCAAGCACTGATAACAATATTCTCATGCCAAATAGCATGATTTCAAATCCTGTATTATGCCAGTTGATGGCCGTATTTGTGGTCCCGTGACAGTAACAGAAAACCCATATACCGTTCCATACAGCAACCTGTGCAGACCTGTTCAGCTTTGGTCCATATACCATATCATGGTTTCTGATAACCGTATTATATAGTTACAGTGTGCAGCCCTATTTAAGCTAGCCTATGCTGTGGCCTTAAGCCCCAGCTTTGGCTAAGGTTATATACTCCCAACTCTTACTGAACTCCCTGGTTTATGACTCAATTGTCTCTCGCCACCATCTACGAGAACTTGCAATGCTGTCCTCACTGTGAATCACTGAACGTGAGTGACACATAGGACTCACACTTTGTATAGTTTTGAGTTAGTGCATTAACAATTAGCCAAAGCTTGTACCCACTTGCCCTTACTGTCATTCTACCATTGTTTTATGATGGTAACTGCATTATCCAGAGCCTCATAAACACTTGTTGTTGTATGATGAACTTTATGCCACTTAGCCTTGAAGAAAGAAATGCTGCAATCTTTCTCAGTACATTTGGCTCCTTTATCCTTTTAGTAGGAGCAGTTGCTGTTCATTACACCCAACCTCACCAACACAAAGAGTACCAACCCCTGGAAGAGGGATAGTAGATGGACTCGATGGCTTCTCCACAGGAACATCTCAAGTGAGCAGCTTTGGGCCTGGCCCACCATGACTCAGCAGAAGAACAGGGATTCAAACTCCCATACCTGACAGTGAAGACCACTCCCATCCTGCTCCAGTCTCAGATCGAGGATCAGCTCGACCGTGAAGGCAAGCCTTCCCTTCAGGAAGAAGACCTCGGATGACTTGGCATCCCTTCAGATGATGGAGACCCCTGGTTCACAGTTGAGTACTGGACCAACACCGAAGGATCCTGGGATGCCACTACCTGGAACAACAATGACAGCTCCAGGGAGCCATCAGTCACTTCCACAGAGCTATTGGCCACCATACTAGGAGTCAACTCAGATGGAGAGCAGCTCTATCATAGAGGAATCTGAAGGTACTACATCAATGTATTTAACCAAGTCATTGATGAACAAACTAGAAGGAATCACAGCTATAAGTGGAGGGTGACAGATAGAGCACAGGGGAGGAAGAATCACCTTCAAAATGGTTGAAGACCCATTCCTCCTTACCTAGGAATGAGGACTGGGAGGAGACATATGAACAGTAGTTGGTGAGGGTGACACAGGAGGACATTGAGGAGATGAATCCTCAGACCCTGCCTGGCATATAGTCCCAACCTCCCTTGCCTTGTACACTCCTGATGGAACCTGCAGAATTGTAGGATCCCCTCTGGAGTGGGACAATAATTCCCTCCATGAGTCTGAGTTTGTCTGGCTCTCTCCCTGACCTGAATCCAAAGTTCTCCTCTGGAACTTTATTACCATTGCCAACCTCAGAAACTTTGCAGAGCCTCACTTTGCTCACATCTCTGAGACATTGACCATTGACAGACCCAATAATATCATCACAACCAAGTACCCCAACACCAATAGTGAGGAGCTCTCAGAGTATTACACCCATGCCAACTCTCCAAGCAACAATGTACAGTGGGTTATCTTTCCAGGTGATACCCTCAGGAGAGCCAGGATTCTTGACTGGTTTGCCAGAGACCAACCCTTTCTGGATCCTATCATCCTCCTGAACTGCATCCCAGAGGAGCTCAATCAGACAAACATCCACCCATACCCCTACTGCAACTGTGCCATCTGTTGGCAGCTCTGGACCTTGGCTAGCACCAAGTTCGATGGGATAAGACCTTTCTCAGAGTTTGAATCTTTTCTCATACCAGAGGGAGGGTTCCTACCCAATGGATATGATGGAGGCTTTGTCTCCTTGTGAGGATTATGGCCTGGGATCTGGGAGCAGACAGATTGTTAAGCACTAACTCGAACCTTCTCCAAAGCTGGTCTCTATCCTGTCACTCGCGTTCGGTGATTCAGTGTTAGAGAGGCGTTGGTAGATTGCAAGAAGTTAGGTGTCACTTATAGCAAAAGCAAGGAGCTTGTAAGAGTTAGGAGTATATAACCTTAGCTGAAGCTGGAGTCTAAGGCCACAGTGTAGGCTAGCTTAAATACATGTTAGACTCGTACTAAGAATAGTGTCTATAAGGGCACATGCAGCGAGAAGTGTGTCTTTCAACAAATGAGGAGGGAGGACACTAAAAGAAGTGTACTCCTGATGAATGAGAGTAAAGAGCACATATCACCTGCATCTGTGTGGGACTCCGTCTGAATGGGCTGCATCCCATAGACCACCCTTGACTGGCGGTCGACTCTTGTCCAACTACTAAGAAGCATGATGCCATCAAGAGAAGCATGACGGCGCATGTGGGTCATTGGTCACCTGGGGGTGGCAGTGGTGAACTGGGGTGACGGCAACCGGGTATACGGGTAAGGAGTGTGCCGGCAGAATATCATGGGTCCAGGAGATAAGATAGGCAGGTCCAGGGTTCCGAGAGATAAGGATAAGATAAGATAAGGAAAATAGAGGTAAAACTGTAATAATACCCCCCGACTAAGACTGTCGTCCTGACAGTTCTTTAGACGTACTCACTCCCTGAGTCAAGGGAGTTAGTAGATTCCATATCCCATTCGTAGTCCTTGGTTTGTTCCCAAGCAGACATGCCCCATTCTTCTTGAGAGAAGCTGGGGTCAGTCTGAGTCGTTAGAGGAGACTCAGAATGCTCGTCTTCGAAGACGTCTTCATCTGTGTCCGATGAATAAAAGCCCTGCTCGTTAGAGGATAATGGATCGGTATGATTCTTGACTGGAAAGATTGTTGAGCTCTCGGTTGAAGGGCCAGGAGATGATATTGTTATACATCCCCCTTCTTTCCCCAAGTGTCGTAAATTGTGATCCTCTACATGGTCTTCCTTGTTCTTGTATTGTGTGATGAGTTCTTTGGCATGGGCGAGATTGCTCCTCTTAACCCAGGTAGCTTCCTCCACTGGGTATCCCTTCCATTTGACCAAATATTCTGTTATGGTCCTCCGGCTGTGTCCTCGACTGATGATGCAGTCGTGGTCCTGAAGTAGTTCTTCTACTTCATATTCTTCTTTGCCTTCCACGAGTTCCGGCTTGGGTGGCAGAGGTTTTTCCTGGTTGGAAAACTCCAGGGGGATGTACAGAGTTAGGTATCGTTCATTGAACTTGTTATGGATCTTCTATCCTGGTGGCAGCTTTAGTTCGTATGCGGAAGGCCCCTTTTTGGAAACTACTTCAAAGGGGCCGACGCATTTGTTGTTTAGCTTTTTTGCCGGTTGGGGGAGGTGAAGGTTGGTTGAGTCCAGCCAGACTTTATCTCCTGGTTGGTACTCCTGCGCAGGGTGAGTGTGTTTGTCGTAAGCCTTTCTCATAACTTTGACTGCTTTATTCAGGGAGTCTTCTGCTTGCTTGCGTACTCTCTGGAGGCTTTCGACGAAGTCAGTTACCAATGGTGTTTCTGACTGCCTCACTGCGGTTGAGCGAATTTCCCCATCTCGTCCGAAGACGATTTTGATGGGAGAAAAGCCCATTGCAGAGTGTTGGTGGTTGTTGTGAGCGAATGCTGCCCACTGCAGCCATTCGCTCCAGTCATCCTGTTTGTGGTTAACAAAGACTCGAAGGTATTTTTCGAGCTCTTGGTTAACCTGCTCCGTTTGTCCATCCGTCTGAGGGTGATAGGCCGTCGACGGATTTCCTTGAATATTCATCATTGTGTATAGTTCAGTGATGAATTTTGATACAAATTGGGGCCCCCAGTCAGAAATGACTTTAGAGGAGGTCACCCCAAATTGACAAATGATCTCGTCCCATAGGATTTTGGCCCATCCACTTGATGAGAGTTCCTTCGTGCATGGAATCAGCACGATGTATTTCGAGAATCGGTCTACAATGACTAGCACTGCGTCGTAGCCTTTGGATTCTGGAAATCCGGTAATCATGTCGACTGAGATGTGTTCCCAAGGTCGAGATGGTACAGCGTTGGGATGTAGCGGAGCTGCCTTCCGCTGCGTGTCAGTTTTTGTTCTTTGACACACCTTGCATCCTCGTATGTAGGTTTCCATGTCTCTTCACATTTTGGGCCACCAATAGTCTCTTAAGACTAATTTCTTGGTTTTTTCGATGCCCGGGTGTCCTGCAGAGACATGATCGTGGTGATGGGAGATAAGTCCTCCTCGTAGAGTGTAGTCATGGGGAACATAGATTCGTCCATCATAGTATAGAAGGTGGTCTTTCTCAATGACCCCCTTCTCATGGTTGAGGCTTGAAGCGATTCCGCAGTCCCACCGTTGGTGATCGCTGGTTGCTCTCCGAATTTTGCCATGAATTTCTTCCTCCATTAGCATTATTAGGGCGTGGAAGAATTCTGGCTTCAAGAGGACAATATTGTCATTGTCCTTCTTGCCTTGGTCATGGTCGGCCTTCCTATTGGATGCTCCCAGTTTGTGGTTGAGCGTGA